TTCGAACATCGACAACCTATGGAAAAAAATTTAGAGCTACTTCTGGTCGACTCTAGGAGAGGACCTGCTTGAGTTCTTCAACTGCAGCAGGCTAAAGGGAGGCCTAGGCAAGGAACTAAGCACCAACGTGGTATCTTTGCTGCACAGAAAGGGAAACAAAGAGGACCTGAAAAACTATAGACCCATATCACTACTCACCACTCCCTACCAAATCCTTGCTAAGGCCCTTGCAAATGGAATTGCAAAGCTAAAAAACAAATGCTTTCATATCGACCAAGCAGGCTTTATCCCTGGCCGATACATGCTAGATAATGTGATGGCATCATGACACTAAATGAGGCAACAAAGAAGATAACGGAAAAATGAATGAAGGCAGCAATCCTGTTTTTTTACTTCGAAAAGGCCTACGATCGGGTCAATTGGGACTTCCTGCATGCCTGCATGGAGAAAATGGGGGTAGGCCCCAAGTTCAGAGAATGGGTTATAGAGTCCTCTATTCAAACGCAATAGGCAGAGTTCGGATCAATAGGATTCTTTCAGAGACCTACCCGATCTCGAGATCGGTTAGACAATGCGACCCACTGGCCCCACCCATCTTCCTCTTCATTATGGAAGCCATAGCCTCCTTCCTTCAAAAAGACCCTTCCATTGACCGCCTTACGGAATGCAACTTCAATCCATCAAACGACTTTGCCTTACCCACTGCGCTAATGTTCGCCGACGACCTCACTGTCCTCATTTGTGCCAACAACTGCTCATTCCAAGCCCTCGTAAGAGCAATGGAAGCCTTCAGACTGGCATCAGAAATGATGATCAATTGGGGCAAAACCGAAGGATGGTGGCTAGCAGACGGGACCCCACGCCAGGGCAATCACTCAAATGGCCCCGTGCAAAAATGCCCAGGCCTCGTTAATTGGACGAGCACTACTAACTAACATGACAATCTTCTCCACACTGTGGTACATGGCATCCATCTGGTCCCTCCCCCCGACAATGACCTCCAAACGATAAAAATAGGGCCAGGTGCTACTTATTGACCGGAGACCCCAATAGGATCACGTTTATCAACAGGGTGGCCTGGAACTACATCATCGGGAAACCGTAGGGGGGGGGGGCTGGGGCTAATTGACCCCAAACAGGAATCCATAGCACAGCAGATGAAATGGATTATCAAGATCCTAATAAGACAATCCATTCCATGGACCCAAATGGCTCTGGACGGCATCAGAAATCTAGCACCTATCAACTCCCCTCCGAATATGAGAGGTCTCTTCTGGATAATGGCGAAGGACTGGGGGGGGGACAATCAAATCAGGCAGACAGAGCAGAAGGAACCCAACAGATCGTATTACAAGCCCTACTCCAAAAGCAAATCCATACTGGAAGCCAACCCTCAAAGTCTGGCGAAGAATGAGGGCGAACAAACACGGTGCACCGGGAAACACATAAGAGGTCCTGAGACAACCTCTGTTATGCAATTCCTGGATCGTAGACCTGAGTGGCTCACCCTGTACACTACGCACAAAAGAACGGAGATGGCTATCCTGGGTGGAAAAAGGGGTGTGGCAGGTGAAACACGTTTGGGAAGAAAATCGAAGACAATGGTTAACCGAACAGGAGCTCCGAAATGAATTAAAAGGCTGCCACGCCCTCACAGAAAACCTAACACAGATTCAGAAGAGCATCCCAGCACAGTGGCTCTCCCTCTTAAGGGAGGACTTCTCATGGAAATCTGGGGACTGCGGTCGTACTCATTTCCCAAACCCAGCCTCGCAGAGCTTACCGATTTGTTTCTCGAACCAATGCACCCAGCTACCTCTCCAAATTCTTCTCATACCCGATCACTAATCACAACCCACAAGAGCTGGAAGTTATGAACACAGAACCCTAGTGTGACATGCTAAAATCCTTCCAATTGAAAAGTGAGGGTCACAAAAGCCAAACCCTGGATGATCTTCAAACCTGATCTCTGCATCTCAGACCTTGAATTTGAACTGAAAGAGTGGATCTGGAAACAGGGGAAATCCAGGAGAAGGAGAACGATATTCGAATATGATGTAAAATTCGGTTACGACTTAGGATTACGAACTACAGACCCGGATCCCAGACTCGAAGAAAAATGGAGGGAGATCCTGAACCTAGAACCTACTGAACCCGTTTCCATCCCCTGGACAAAGTACCTGTCCATCAGACCGGTTAGGATCCGAAGCATGCAGTGGCTCGCAGGCCACACATCCCTGCCCGTCAACCAATGGCTCCACAAGAGGAGGAAACATACTGATCCCGACAGCTACGAATTATGTGTTATGTGCACAGACAACAGACCAGAAGACATACCCCACTGCCTCTTGTACTGAACTGAAGCAGCCTGGATATGGAACAAAGCTCGCGACCTATGGTCCCGCCTCTTCTCATCACCCCCTCCCCCCACGTCTCCTCAAAACATCCTTCCTCTGTCCAACAGTACTAACAATCTCGAAGGCGGCAAGGAAACCTGGTTTCACCTTCTCAGGAAGCTGGCTCTGGAAAAGGTGGTGTACCAAGACTATCGAGAGAACTGAGGTGGAAGGGAAGAAATGTGGGCCCTACTGTTAAGTCTGACAGGAAAATGAGATTTGGTGCAGACGGGGGGAGGTTACATCAACAACAAAAGTCAGACCAGAAATGCTAGCCACCAAGAGACGTTCTTTCATGAGAGACTGACTCCTACAGGGAAAGATCACAACAGTGGCAGATAATAGATTGATCTGAAAAAAATGGCACAGCGAAACCCCAGCAAGGACGATGACCCAGTGATGGGCAAACTGAGACCATAGTCTCAACAACACAGACAACTCTCCTCTTTTCTTGTTGCACATGAACAACATGACAGAATCAAAATGGATTCTGAGAGGAAAAGCGGTAGGGCAAGCTGACAGTCAATCCTCCTAGACAGGAGCAATCAATGCTGGTCAGGGTTCCTTCAGCCAGACAGAAGGAAGCGTGAGAGTGTTCACCATGTATTCCAATTCTCGACTTGCCGGTGGACAGGAACCGGACTGATGCTCCCCAGAATGGATATGGAGCCAGGACCATAAGGACCTGTTTTTATGTTTTTAAAAAGGAAAAAGGAATATGTGCAGTGGCCCTAAGGGCCTCTACTCACCACATGCACAAAAGACAAAACATACGGCGGCTTATTATTCCGCGTTCTAGCAGCAGATTCATTCTAATTTTGCACATTTGGTGAGTAGTGCAGCCAATCCCTGAGAATCACGTGCAGAGACCAACAGGGCCTAGCTAAGTGAGCCACCCATAACTGCTGAAACACAGACGTGAATTCGAATCCTGAGTATATATTCGGCCAGCTCGTGCTCCACTTCATAGTCACTGCCTGCCTCGATTTTGGTGGAGGTTTTGCGCTAAATTGCTGCAAAGACCTTTTAGATTACCTGCATGGGCCCTCTGATAGGTGTGAAGGGGATCCGTTGCTCTCTCTCTCTCTCTCTCTCTCTCTCTCTCTCTCTCTCTCTCTCTCTCTCTCTCTCTCTCTCTCCCCCTGTATAGACACANTCTTTCTGTGTGTGTGTGTACACACACACCCCTAAAAAAAAATTAAAAAAAAATTGAGCGCATGCTGCGCATCACTAATTTGCACATATGCATGGCGCACGCGCACCGCAGAAGTGTGCCGCAAGTATGATAAAAATGTGTCCTTGTGGTCCTGGCTTCTTGTCCATTTTGGGAAACGTCAGTACAGTTCCAAATGGCAAGCAAAAACTGCATACATGATTAACACCCTCCGCTCTTCGTTCCTTTTTGGCCGAAGAACCCCTGACCAACATTGATTGCTCCAATAAGGAGGATAAACTGTCAGCTTATTTGTCCCTCTTGATCCTCTCATTCTCAGCCCTAACTGAGAATGTTCTGTATGCTAACGAGGTTCAGCTCGCAGTCCCTTCAGAATCCTCTCAGACTTGCCTGAGGAGAAGACCGTCGGTATTGATTCTAAAACAAGACTCCCGAAGGCCCAACATCGAATCCTCAGGTGGTGCCGCATTTCTTCCAGCTCAGTCTATCGTCTCTGATTGTTGCAATTCAACCCTCCAGCAGCCAATTCCTTTTGAAAGCATTCCACTCGAGTTCCATCTTCTGCAGATGGGTTTGCCACGAACTCTTGAATTTTACCCACCTGCATCTGATCTCTGTTTCTGCCATAAGGATCAGTTGGTTCCGAGATGCCTCTTCGTCCACATTATGACCCTCGATCTTCGTCCTTGTGCAGGGGCCATGCTAATCTTCTCTTTATCACAATTTAAACAGATGCCCTAAAGGACTTTAAGGTCTCCATCTATTGGGCCCATTTGTGCATTTTGTTCATCATCTTCCTCGCCAGGTCTTGTAAAATGCAGCGAGCAGGCCATCTTTTACGACAGTTGCTCACAAGCCACTCTGGGTTTTCCTGAAACCCTTGTTTTATGCAAGGTTCCAGAGCAATTTCTGTGATTTTGTGTAGCCTCGGATGATTTCTTTCTTTCATTTCTCATACATCCTAGTGCTTGGTATGCCATTGGAACTACCCCGACTTATTTGTCCATGAGTTCAGAAGAATTTGACTAAATGGTTCCTTGCAGCCAATGGTTGATGAGTGCGAAAGTTACAGGGATTGGTATGATGGCCAGGTATGTCAAGAACCCAGTTCTGAAGGTTGAGACGTGCAAACAACACAGGAACATTCTCACGTGGAACCATGTTGAAAGCTGCAACAGCTATGGGAAGCCAATGAGGAGCTTCGGCCTGGTCTGACAATTTCGACATCATCAGCTGCATTGCCTGGGAAACATGGATAACTCGTAGTTCCTTTCCCTGGACCTTCTAGAACCCAGCTCGTTGGGAGATCTCTATCCATCACTCTTGTAAGATTTTATTGTCAATAGTTTCGCAAATGATGTTTCTCTCTTTGTGAACTGTCAGGCTTGGCTAGCCATCGTATCTGATGCTTATTTTTTTATGTTTGGCAGATTGGCATGCGGTTCAGGGAAATGAAGCAGTCAATTTTGAAAGTTGAGCCATTCAACTCGACACGGAAATGTTCTGGTGTTGTGATGAAGGTGGGATATAGAGATATTGGCATCCTTACCCTCGATACTTCACACCAGTGTTTCTCATTGTTGTTGCCATCACTGTCATTCAGTTCAGTCATGTCTCAACTTTCAACAGAATTGCACCGCACTGTGCCATAGTTAACGTCATGAATGATGTGACTGCAGAAGATCTGATGATGCAGGCAGTCAAGGAATCACGAGCCGGGCTAATTATGGTTCCTGTTGGTATGTTTGTATGTATTTTTCCCCTGTTGCTGCCATATAGCTCACAGATCAATCAGGTGTCCGTGTTCACTGGAAAGGTGCTTCAGAAATGATCCTTCAGATGTGTGAAGACTGCTATGATGTTGAGTCCAATCGCTTGGAGCCTTTGACGAATGCGAAGGTCAGTTTGAACAATCAAATTATTATGTGCCCAGCATTATGTAGTTACTGACAGTAGGCACCACACTGTGTGCCAATTTGCTTCGCTCTCGCTGTTTTTTCTGTTTTTTTTTGTTTTTTGTTTTTGTTTTTGTTTTACCTACTCTAGATTCTTCACTGATATACTTCACTCTCCGTGCCTACCTACATATATGTCCACTTTTTCCAGGGGATGCTCAAGGCTATGGGTCGAGTTTCCAGCCTTCCCGGCCTATTCTACTCTATGCGGGGAGCAGTACCCCGGCTCCTAACACCTGGCATGAGCTGGACAGCCACACAACTTCCACAACCAGCCAGGAGGCCCAAGCCAGATATCTCCTCTGGTGAACGCCGAAGCGCATCACAGGGGGCCATGGGGGATCAAATGGACGACGTGGGGAATCGAACCCACGATCTCCTGAATACCGCTTACGTGCTCAACCAACTGAGGTAGCCCGCTTGGACCTGTTTTTTTTGTTTTTGTTTCATCTGGGCAGCCAAAATGAAAGCTTGACCCTTCTCCAAGGTTTTTGTCTCGATTCAACTTTCATTTTTGTTGGCCAAGTATGGTGTCACTTTCTTTTTTCTTTTTTTTTTTAATTGAACAGGTCCATTCTGGGGAGCGTCAGTCTGGTTCCTTTTTTTTTTTTTTTTTTTT